GACTGTCATGTTCCTTATGTACTTTTTTGGCTTATTTCTTATGAACGAATTTTCACTCACGACCTATCGAAAATTTTATATGAAAATGCGAAAATAAACTGCATAAACATGTTCTCAGATTAAAATTTGTCTACTGAACGAGATAAAAATTTACAAAATGTAAATAGATTGATTCCTTTACTAGTTGCAAATGCCTTAGCCGTTCGCCAAAGGATACGTTTTGTATACTTTGCAGCTGACTAATAGATTTTTCGATAGTCTTTAATTCAATAAATTTGTCTGTTGTGATAACACGCGTACTGATAATATCTTCCCCGATCGATAACCGCCTCAATTAATATGTCCAGTTGGTATTTTAATTAGGAGCTACGTGCCAAATAATTATACTTTTAATTTTTATGACTCATGGGTATTTATCACTCTCTGCACTCAAGGCGAACTTATAAATTTTTACAATTTGTCGATAAATGGACATAACCTTTTGGCGATTCTGGGGTCGTACGTTACCTTTTATATTCAAAAAATCACATTATATAATGTTAATGTCCATCCTATCCTTTTCATATTTTCTTTATGAGACTACGGTTTCCCGTTCCAATAAAACAAATTGACCATTGTCTAAAGTCCGTCTCGTGATTTTGAATAGTAAAAAATATTCGAAACGTCGGAAACTCACGTACTCGTATTAAAATCTATATAAATATTTTCAATTAAAAATGTCATTTAATTTTATATTAAATGATAACACATTATCCACAAACTCGATCTCGATGCGATTATGATTTGTTTAATTTAATTTTGCTTTTATTCAATTTATTGCAATCTCGATAAACGCTTTATAACATCCTTAATACTATTAACCATTAATTTTTGTGCACGGTCACAATACCAGAAAGTAGTCATAATTTGTGTTCACATAAAAAACAGAGTACGGCAGAAAAATATTCTTCCGTTTCGTATGGCGAATGGGTCAACGACCCAGCCAGAGTTGGAACAACTGAATCAGATGCTAGTTCTCTTGAATGGACCGGCCCACTGACGGTTCCACGATAACACAGATTACATAGATTAAAAGCTTTAAATTCTCCTCATACAAATTTCTCGGATTCAAATAATTGATAACAATTAAGAAAACTCAAATAAGTTAATAAAACATTTAAACATAAAAGGCATTTTAATTATAAAAATAAACTTTGATTGCAAGTGATTGGTTCAGTCCGCGGAAAATAGAAATACAGAAACCAGCGGGAGATAAAGTCTACAGTAAACGGCAATAGTATTACCAGAAAATATCTATACAAATAAAATTATTCATTTTATTAATGATTTGATTTATATTGATAAAATATTTTTTTCTAAGTTTTCATTCTTATACACTTAGCCCTCATCTAAAAAAGATACTGTGATCTCTGTATTTAATGAAAAGTAAAAGTTATTAAAGTTTTAAAAAATAACGATTTTTATAAGCACTACGCGTTTAGTGGTGTGTGGTATCTTGTGGGTATTATTTAATATTGTAAGCAACGCAGTCGAAGTCGCTGGTAGCAGTTTGTTCAAAATAAAAGCAGAATTGAAGATTGTGGCAAAATGTCAACTATAAAAAATACGATATTGTCCCCATATCGATATAGTACTGGCAACTCACCAATAAATATTAAAAATATAGCAAAATTAGAGCTGCGTTCTAATTTGATTGAAATATCATCGTACAGCAGCGCGGGGTTCGTTTAAATCTGTCGTTTCGACAAAAGCGTGACATCAAGATTTGGTAATGAAAACGTGTTTGCCAAAAGCAAGGCTCTCACGAAATCGACGACAGATAGATAGCAAAGGTTCACTAACTGTGTCGTCTCCTGAAACCGTTGTCTTGAAAGATTTCTTAAGATGCTTCCCGTCTGAAAGTTTTCACTCTGCGGATGCACAAATTAGTACGAAGCGTAGTAAAAAAACGCTGTAATTAAACATTAAACGTCGCATGTACATTCTTTATCCCATTAGACATCGTTTGCATTCGTATATAACTACGAATCGGGCCCCACGACCGGAATCTCTGCCGTTCTTAATTGTCACCCGCTGACAATTAAGAAAAAAAAAAAAACTAAAGCGCGCCAAATTGTATCGACCGAATTCGCATGGATTACCCGACGGCGCGGCGGGGCATTAAATCAACAATGGCTACTACCGGCACTTTCATGCCTCCGTATCAATATAAAAGATAGGAGCTATCTTTATAAGGCAATAACGCTGGGGCGGCCATTTATTTTTATTTATACGCAGTATCGTGGCCGCTATCTCGCCTTAAGTGCCGATGGGTATCTGTTAATGCCGGCCTATCGTCGGCATCGAACAAAGCGCCGATACGGGCGCGAGGAGATAGCCGACGAATATTAGATACAGAATTTTTTCACGTCAACGTGAGCTGAATGAACATCTACTCCAAGTCTTACGCTATCACAATTAGATTGGCATGGCGATAGCACTCGGTCAACGACCATCCATGTTCAATATAAGACATTATCCATAACTCAAAATCGATTCATCATCATCATCATTTCAGCCTGTTTGAGTCCACTGCCGAACATAGGCCTCCCCCATAGACTGCCATGAAGTACGATCCTGAGTCACCTGCATCCATCGACTTCCCGCACATTTGCACAGTTCGATTGGATGGACCCAATTTTGGAAATCAAGAGACAGAGTCCCAGAACAATGCATAGAGAAAGTGTGGAAATGATTTTTGCCCTGCACTAGTCTTTTCTCTGGTTGTAGAAAATCTTGCTTTTATTTTTCTGCAGAATAAGCATGTTTGATTTATGAATGAATGATTTAACGCAAAATTTTCAGTTTCCGTTTAGGCACGTTACGCGCAACAAGTTATACATACACAATAGTCTAACAATGTAGGGAAGTTCTGTTTTCGCACAAATTAGTTCGCATCCCGATTTATAAGTAAATGGATATAATTTTGTATAGTTAAGACATAATAAAATTGTGTAATGAAACAATAATTCGTTGTACTTAGGACGTCCCATAGTTTTAATATATTCTAAGAGCCTTTACGAAGCCATTGTTGCTGATAGGTAATAGAACTATCATAGTAATAAATTTTAAGTATAGAAAATGAGTGCCATTAAAATCTGCCTTCTAAATATATTAACTAATATTATTTACAACCATAAAAGCATTAAAATTAGTAATGAAAGCTATAACTGATATTAAGAAAGCTTGATTTGCCGTTAGGAATGCTGCAGCTATTTACTATTTCGTCATATGCACGGAGTTTACAAAGCTGCTTTATTTAATAAAGATTTTATGGCCTGGTAACAAGACCTTTAAGCCACCACGAAGCTGCTAAAAACCAACCATCGACAAGCAGCATAGACCATAGACGACAGTATTACTTTACTGTTCACACGGGCGGCCACACAGGCAAAACCGGTCGCGTATTACAGATCGCGGCGCCTTTGATGTGGCCGATAAGAAAACGGCGACTCGTCGGGCTAACCGCCTGCCATGCCCCAGGCCTCAAAGACCGATCGGATTGCCCAACGCCTTTGATCGCGGCCGACAGCTAATTGTTGCGAATTGCACTGCGCAATTTTATATAGCCCTAATAAAAGCCAATTCTTTATATTCATAAAATAATTTATTGTTTCAATTATTTCCTGGTAGATTGTTATGTTGCATTACACTCGTAAACCCAAATGACCATCTTCAAATTAAATGCTATACGAATGAATGTAAAAACTTCTAGTTTCGTTTATTCGTAAATTTGTTTTAACAACAAACGTTCCACGAGTATGAATACAATTAAGTATCGATACTCACGAGGAAAACAATAGAGTTTGCGAGACTTTCGGAATTTGAAAACAAGAAAAAGAACAATATAAAACGTAAAATTATTAGTGTAGCAACCGTATAATCAAAGAAATTATTTAGTTATTTGATCATTAGTATCTTATGTCATAAATCAAAGTAAAAAAAAATAAACAAAACATTAACCAATAAATACAATTGCTGAACAAGCATAAACGAGAAATTATAAATGAAAATAATTTACACAAACCGCATAATTTGCAAATAATGCAAAAAATAAATTATTATAACCAACCAGTGAACAAAACTGGTGGGGTTTGCAATCGGTAGTAGCATAAGTCAGAATATACCGTGACAGACGACATATCATCAACCCACCATAAAATCTATTCAGCAATAAGTCGTAAATTTGCCAACCCTATGTAGGGTGTTCACTAGTCGTCATGATGTCTTTGGTTAATATTTATGACTTAACAACAATATAAATCTATGTTTTATTAATGTTTTCTGATAATAAATTGGGAAAAATGCATTGTTATAACTCACTAGTGGAAGTATAATACTTTGGCGTTTCGTCTGATGAGTGAGGTGGCCGGAGAACCATCTGATTGCTTCTTCGATAAGTTGTTATCAAGGACAACATTTAAAAAAATAGTACAACAAGCCTGAATTCTTATTTATTTAATTTACACTTTTCACAAATAAAATCCTTTTATAAGAAATTCACTAAAACCGACCAACATGTACTAACTAGGAGCGTCTGCTTAAATTTTTAACAAGTTACGACCATCTGATTGCTTCTTCGATAAGTTGTTATCAAGGACAACATTTGAAAAAATAGTACAACAAGCCTGAATTCTTAAATGAAACAAAACCTTGAAATTCACTAAATGTACTAACTAGTATTTCCTATTATAATACTATTTTAATATACAACAGTTAAGACATATCTAATCAAATCTCATGTGTTGAAATTAAAAGCTAAAAACTAGTGGTCGTGCCAAAGAATGAGAGACAAACACATTCCTTCCTATCAATTTTAATTTGTATTACAATTTTAATTTGTAATTAATTCAATATTTGCGAGTTATGGACATTAAAGTATATGAATCAGATGACAGCTTTAATGAAATAATTATTTTATATTTATAATTATAATTATTGAAGATGAACAAGTGACTTACCGCTTCTTCAGCCTCCTTCTGATCGCGGTGACCCATGAGATTAGGCATTGCAGTCCAGTTGTATCCTAAGTCTTGGCATTGTGAAAGTTTGATTCTCTCGCATTTTCCACCTTCAACATCCTCTTGATCGGCAGCCGCTAAACACGCGCAAAGCAAGACCACACTCAAAATCCGTGCCATTGTTAAAAAAACTCACAACAACAGGCGTAATTATCACTTTCTTGATGTCATGTTCAATTTCGAAGTCTTCATTTGAAAACATATAATACAATATCGTAAACACAAAAAACTTCTGACTAAATCCGACAAGACGTCTTTACACCAGTGGAACTCGAAGCGGACTGATTTCAAATTTCAAATTACGAACGCGGCGCGGCGATTCAAAGGCAGAAGAACGAAACCGGTCGTCCGGCCCGCGCGTTCAGAAACATGCATATGTTTCGATAAAAGGTCTAAACGCATGAACAGGGCATTATAATGGGAAAAAAAGGCCAAAAGGGTCTAATTCGTGTACGGCTCTCTGCAATCAGTAGGAGTAATTTTGTAATCTCTTGTTGTCCGTGAGTTAGGGCGAAAGAACAGGATGTATGAGAACATAGTGTTAAAATCAATAGCGTCTTCAAGCGGGGACGGTGATGAATTTGATATATTAAAATACCTGCAAACCTTTGCATTTTCTTCGACATCTTATTAAAATTACTTCGATTTAAAAAGTAGAATGAATACCGCTGCAATACTGTATGTATGTACATTGATATATAAAATTGGAAACTAAACTTCTTATCAATAAAAAAATTATCAATGCATCAGAGCATAGTTCTTTAATATACGATATGATATCTTTACAACTTTATTGATGGTAGTATTAAACGGCGGAAACTATAAATAAACGCCGCCGGTTTCGTTTTATGTTAGTATAACATTTAGCGAATTTATCTTCTATCGGGTTTCTAAGCACTTAGTGCTTTTAACAAAATTTATACACGTTACCCCTTTTAATTCCTGAAGATGTGCGAGCGAGATATCGGCCATTATCGCTCGCTCTTTTATCTTACGTTCTGGCATCCCAAGTTGAATACACAATTAGGTCCCTTCATTATATCACTCCAATAACACCTTTAAATATGTGGCGGCTTTGCCAATATGAGCTTTATCTCCTTCATGCTAAATGTAAAATTGATTGAATTGATAATATCGTCGTCACCCATTACGTCCAGAGTAACTTGATCTGCGAGTCGAAGGGAGTTCGTTTCATGTTCAATAGGGCTATGGGGTCAGGGCATATCGCAGGTTCGGGTATGAATAGCTGCATTGTGCGAGCGGGACGGGCTAGCGGCGTCAAAGAGGCCGCCTGCACGGTGCGCGTACGCAGTGCGGACGAGAACCGAATGCCTAATTAAAGACGCATGCGTGGACTGTGGGGTGTGGTGTGTGGTACAAACGAAACATCTATTTCTTTAATATTCACAATTTCCATTAAACATAAAAAAAAAATATTTGAAATATCGTTAAAATATGTAGAAAAAATGCGAAAAGATTGTCGCCGCTGTGGGAATCGAACCCACGTCTTCGACATTTTTTAATGTTCAATCTTAAGTGCAAAGATTAGCACTATAAACAATTTAAATTTCTTAGAAATATCGTTTAAAAACACCGTTTATTAAAAAGAAGTTATACTTCATTTGGCGCGTTTGGAAAAAAATATGAGAATAAAATTTTTGCGATGGGCGCCCATGACAGTCTAAAAGCCACACGATGAAGTCGGTTGCAACGATCAACTTCGACTAACTTCACGGTATTTACCACGGCAACCAATAACAACTTTAACTTTTACCTACCTACCTATAATTCCAAGTTATTAAATTAGGCCGTTATCAATTGCATTTAATGACTTTTTCACAAACAAAGAAAGTACTGGAAAAGGGGATAAAACTTTTGTTACATATGCTAAAGAAGTATAATTTCTAATGTGAGTACAAGTGTACACATAATTTTTCATCACTTTTAAGAGGCATATTAGATACTTTTAAGAAATAAGTATGCATTATTTATTACGGTCGTTACCAAGGTCTGTTCTGTAAATACGACAACTTTTGCAGATTATTCACTTTTCACGATAGCGCTTTTCTATTACTTATCATATTTCTTTCAGACCTTTTTACAATTAGTAATAGTTTTCTATAAAGTTTTTGTTTTAATTCACGTAGTATTATCGTAACGAGTGTTTCATAACGATCGATTTATAACTTTATTACTGCCGTTATTGCATAATTCTACTTTTTTAGTTTTTTTTTTTTTCAAATATTTTTATCGTATTTGCACCATGCCCTCAGCGCGCACAGTCTGGATGCGTAATTAAAACGTCATATTGAGCGCGCGCGGGTACGATTGGCGGCAAATGCAAATGGAGGAGTCGTGCACTGGAGGAAGCCCCGCTGAATAACAATCTGTCCTGTCGTAAGTCGGTAACTCAGCGGTGGCTGTAATCGGGGCGACCTACGTCACGACTGTCATCAAATTCGCGGGAAAACGGGTTCCCCAGATAAAAAATAAAGCGTTGTATTTGTTTTGTTGAACCAAGGTGACTTTATTAATTTCAATAGTCAACGCAAAAAGCTGCAAGAATGTTAATTTTTTTTCTGTTCCTGAATCTCATCATTCTGTTCACTTCGTAAACATTTGAACTTGGTTTATTTTACTGCCAAATCTGTTCTTTTCGAATGCTTTCAATATTCAATCTCGAGATAATATGCGTAGATAATACGTTTATTACGAAACTTAAGTCTCTCCCTAAATGTTTTTAACTCTCGAACGTGCAACTTTCATCGTGATTGACATCATTATCATCATCATTATATTTTATTCATAGTTGATAGCACTTGGAACACTATTAATGTTCAACAGCTTCTAGCAGAGAGTTGCCAATTAAGACACCGTAAAATATCTATAACAATTTGTTATGAAAAAGCCAAAGCGCCAAGATGTAACTTCCTTGAAACAGTTTAACATCGTTCCCTTCCGCTGGAATCTGAAGGCAGCTCGAAGGACACTAGGATTTTATAACCGGAGGAGGTTATCACGCCAGACCGTCGAAGCCCAAGGGACAATTACCGCGGGTCTCGCGCGCCCCGGGGTCGTAGACTCAATTAAGTGAATTTGCCCGGCCGGGGCAAAAACTCACACGGACCGGTGTAGGGTGAGTTCACGGTATGGTGGATAAGAGACTAGCGATTTTAGTGGCAATGTATTAAATCTTGGAATATTTATTATCATAAGAATGTGAGTTTTGTTGTTTTTTTTAGATGTTGTTGAATGAATTGTCCGACCCAATCAAACAAGGGAAGTTCGGATAACATAATTGTACGATGAAGTAGATATTATTTACTAGACATTTCCCCTAGTGATAGACATCTTTCTTTCTTTCTTTCTTTCTTATATCCGTTTCAGTGAACTGTCTCGTCATTTGTCAGCTTGGATTGAAAAGAAAAATTACGAATATTTGAAGTGGCAACATTTCATTATTCGTAGTTAGGAGGAGCTTTCCTTCCTTTTGCTGTGGTAAAGTAATATAATTTTTTTTTATGGAATGGCTAGTCATAACTTCCATTATGTCACAAATTATTGTTTGTTATTTTCAGGTATCGTGGTATCTTTTAAAGATACTTTTTGAACGTGGCATTACCGTAATTGACACGTGCTTTTTAATCCTAGAATAAAGCATTCAATGTCACAAATTTGTTATTTAAGCAATCGCTTAAGCCAGTATAACGTCCTTTATTTTTGGCATCAATCAAAAGATGTTGCAAATTTCTATATGAGTCATTCCGACTGTTCGCACCACAACGATAGCCTGGTTACCGCATAACGCCCATAATTTGAAAGGAGCGCGGCGTCGACAAAACTATGACGTAAAAACTGTGACGGACGCGTCGGCAGCCGTAGCAAAAAGGAAACCAGGCGAGGAAATTTCGGCTTGGAGCCGCACTCGGTTTCAAAGCGATTTCAAACCGCTTAACCGCTTTCGAGTTTCGCACGAAAAACGCTCACCGCTTTTTTCGGCGGCCATCTTCTTTTTAAACTTTTCCCGCCTTTATGACGTATCTACTATCGTATGACATTGTCAAATTGACAATGGTTTTGCACTTGATGAAGTTATGGTTCGCGTTGCTCCCAAAAGCGAATGCGAATACCATAACTCTCCTATTAATATCTGTGGTCCTCATGCGAGTTTACTTTACGGAAGTTTTTAATGATATGTATTTTTGGCGTCTTTTTTGGCTATTAGTCTTTGGCTTTTGGTAATTGTATTAGAGGTTTTTTTTTTAATAATGACTATAAAATAAGGTCGTGAAAGTTGATGACTGTGTTTTCTATTCTAAGTACCACAGGCCACCGCGAACATAAAATAACTGACCGGTAGTAACCTTTCGGTTTTTAATTAAGTTGTAAACTCAGAAAGTAATTTAATGGAATAATATATCGTATTTATGGACTGAATCTTGCACGTAATGCATTAATTTCTTAAAAGAGCAATAACAGACGTCCGTGTGTTTCAAGTTTAAATGTAAAAGTAAGAAGAGAACATTGACACCTCTGATTATGGCGTGTATTTAGACTTGGATATAATACAGTAACAAAAGCAGTTTTCTACACATTTTTTGAGCCTATATTGGCTAATGCAACAAAATTGTCAACGTCGAATTTGTAATAAATTATACCGGAACCATGTCGTAATAATTATAATATCTTATATTCCATGCGTAAAGCTTCGCCAATAAGTAGTGGAAATCATTACCTTAACGAGTTTTAATCATATACATACCTCGATAACCATTAAGTCCTTTAGTAATAATTATGAACAAATAAATGTTTTTATTAACAATATCTCCTGGTTCTTTATCCTCCTTGTGCACAATTAAGACAGCGACGATTATGTTGTAACAGCAGGTTAATTGACGGCGGCTTCCTTTGTAATCGTTTAGAGTTAATTATGTCCCTCAATTTGTGCTTATAGAGAATTTGGCCGGTGAATAATTCGTCGGGAGCGTTTCAAGGAATTGTTTACTTAAAAATAATTGACTAATAGTGGTCAAGTAACGGTACTTACAGGATATTGCAACATGAAAAAGAAAGTTTAAGTTAGTGGAAGTTTCCTTTTTTCAATTAAGACTTATTTTATG